TTAATGTTACGCTTTTGCACTAAACGTACATGTAAAATTACAAAATATAATTTGATATCATACCAATAACCGTGCACTTAGTAAATGTATAATAACTGCATGTATCACAACCCTCTAACAAATCGAGCGCTTCATCAGATCTGTATAAAATACTATACAGCAACCATAACGGCATGCGTGTGTTTAAAACGAAAGTATAGGATGTCACGAAAGAAAGCCCCTTGAAATACTGTATCAGTGAACAGACGGGCAGCATCAGCAGGGCACCTCTCCCTATAAGAATTTTCCACCAGCATTTCTAAGCGCATCTTCATCGTATACATATTTATCTTTATGGCCTGACTGAAAGACAAGCAAAAACATATACATATAAGCACAGAAATAATATGCTAAAATCATTTTGAACCCGAATGCCCTACCTGATTTACAATATCCATGTTAGTCGCCTGCTCGTAGACAGGAGAAACAGCTATAATCGGGGGGAGGCAAGCGATAGAAGCGGAACAGCCCACGGAGGGGGAGGGAGAATCAACAGAACAGCAGCTTTAGTTGCGTCACTCACGCGCTTCGAGAACGAGAGCAAAGAGCGAGATGAACCGACCGACGCTGATCGCAGTAGAGCAATGAGACCATTAACCTGTCACCATTTACGTGCTTCTTCTAGCTGTATCTTCAGTGATGCTCTCAAATATGATATTTCCCCCTCTAACGAGTTGTTGTTTCGATGGCAGGCTGCTCGCGCTGCAGAAGCCGTAAATTATGAATGTGATTGATCACTGAACACCAGATACGGCGGCCACTGAGTGCTGAGATTGAATTAGATAGTTTCATTTAGCAGTGGTCCGGTGGAACGTTAAGATGCCATTTGGGAAATAATAACTATTCATGAGCGTCTTCAACAAAAACATCACAGTTATGAATAACTAGATCTACATGAGAATGATGTAGGACTGGATATTCTGGAAAGACAGTTGCTAACTCAGGATCTCACTGGGCTGAAGAAGATGGCATGCTGGAGGCCTGTATCGAACTTCATATTTTCTACTTCAATCTTGTTCAAATTTCATAATGAACCCATACTGTATTTATTAAGATCTTTCACAGTAAGTAAGGAAGGTGTGAATAGAATGTTCTCCTTGTGGGAAGTAACCAGTTGGACTGACAATGATGACTCATACACTGTTCATTTAATAATGAAATGCTAAAACAGGAAATTATTTCTGAAATCTCAGCTAAAAAATATTGAAAAGAAAAAAGAGCACTTGCAGAATATTTGCTATTGTGAGAATTAGATAGATTTTTTTTTTAAATATCCATAATGTATTTTACACTGTATAAAAATTCTGTAGTTTTTACAAAATAATTTTGGCAGCTGTGGTTGCCAGAATAATTTTGTAAAAAATACAGAAAAACTGTAAACACATTTACGGCCAAAACCGGTAAATTGTACTGTATAAAACTGTAATTTAAAAACAAGAAAATTAGAATATAAACCAGTTAATTCATCAATGCACACTGCTATTAAAATCAGTTTTGTACCTTTAACATACTGACAACCACCATAATAATGCAGGTGGTAAAAGAGAAAGCCACATGAAGAATCAAAGCTCATCACAAGTAGCTTCGCCACAAGCAGAAGTATATACTAATATATAGAAGGTGCACAGAGTCATTCATGCAAACACAAAACACCATCATGGTAACACACATGATACTTAAATAATGCATTCTCGCCTGAAAACCTCTTAAAACTACATTCCGTGACGCAAATATATATATATATATTTATATACTTTTTTAAATTAATAATAATGAGCCATAATCGTTTGTTTAAAGTAAAGGGAAAATCCAAAGGTGGGTACATCAGTCTTATTTGTTCTTTTCATGAACGTTTTATGTTAAATATAAGCAACTTTGTCATTGTAGCATTGCTGATGTTGTGTGTGTGTGTGTGTTTCATTAAGAGTAATATTGAATCAACCTTAAGCATTCATTTTGTGCCCAAATATACATAACCAATAACAAAAACTATTAAAAAAACATGATTATTTAAACAAAATACTTTCAAATGTGGAGTGTCATGCAGGGAATTCTGGGAATATCAGTTTACAGTTTTTGACTGTAAATTATACATTGATTTGTTATTTTTACTTCTAAAAACTGTCAAATTAACAGCATTTTACTGTAAAATTACATGAATGTATGGTTAGATATTTTACAGTTTTTCCCTGTATATAGTACAGGAACTTACTGTTAACCTATTAACAATTTTTCCCCGTAGCGTTTTTACAAAATGTTACAGTTAAAATTACACTTATTTTTTACAGTGTATGTTTAATTTGATATTTTAGCTATATTTAATAATATTATTAATTAACATTTAATTCTTATATATACAATTTTGTAATATAACAGCATGTCATATTATGTATAATTGTATAATATCTAGAGCTTTTGGTGTGATAAATATTCTCTCTTAGAAATATAAGCACAAAAGGCAGAATCATGATAAAGTATATTTTTCCCTCCCTCCCTACTTCCTCCTTTTTGAAGCCCAAAGGCCTGCAGCTGTTCTTCTCATTGCTAATAAAAACAGTAATTAGAGGTTCTCTATGTATGTTATGAAAGTGTCTCAATGGCAAAACTCATGTGCTTCAATATCCCTAGCCTCACTATTGTAAATGACGCTTAGAAATGCTTCATTTTGATATAGAAGTAATGATGCATAACATTCTTCATAGATCCAGATGTCTGGAAGAAGGGGACAGTTGCGCTTGAAGGCCGGTAGGGCTAAAGAAAGTGTCCTCCCCCACAATGCACCACCATAATTGAAGCCAGCAGCCTGCAAAGTGGTCTGGTCTCAAATCAGTGCACAATTCAATGCATCAGCACAGCTTGTATTTAAATAAATAAATAATGGGGCACATAATGCACGGGCTTCAAGGGGCTGAAGCCCAGGGGCCTACACTGGAAAGGGAAGGGAAATTATATTTTTCTAATAATCATTTGTATGGGAGTTTGCAGCAGTGACAACAGCTATAAATAAACACACACTTCTGGCAAAGATTGAATTTGCATATTTACTTATATTCACATTTTATGCAGAACAGTGTTGTGAATGTTAACTGGCATAAAAAAAAAAATCTAAATTTCGCATAAATATTTTCCAGGAAGCTAAAAAAAAAGTAGTTTTCTGGAGTAGGGGGCCTACTGTAATGCTGTAGCTGAGGGGCCTCTGGTTATCGTAAGGCACACCTGGTGGTGTGTAAACTGTAGATTATGAATTCTAATCATACTGTAAATAGTCTTTACATATACACCTTCCATAGTTTGAGGTCAGACAGAAATTTGGCTGTCTTAAACCTGTTCTAAATTCCCTTGATAGAGAACACTAAATATTAAGCATATATCTTTCCTCTGGCCAAACAATTTGGGCACATATCTAATAAACACATATAAAGCAACCCAAGTGGAACCTGAACCCACAATCTCCAGCTCCAGAAGTTGATGCCTTATTAGGCCACTGGGCCTTGACATGATTTGTTGCATTTTGTATTACAAAATGGCTTTGCAAAAAGCTTTCCCACAAAATGGCTAAGTTGGCTAGGTTTTCACAATTATGACAGAATTGACAGATTGCAATGTGGAAACATTTCAGCTTTATATTTGTTTACAAATATAATTCAGAATTGAATAAACTCTCATTCAATCTCACATATAAATCTTTAGATATTATAATATTCCATGTGAAGTGGTTATATTAATATTGTTCTGTATATTTACACTAATGAAGTAAAATTGTTGGGGAAGGGAGCAAATGCTGGGGATTACATAGAGATGTGGTATGACAGACAAGTTCACATCTGCAATCTGTCGTCATTTATTTTTAGAAAATGTTCAGTAATTTTTATTTTTACTGTATGAGACCCATGAATAGGGCACAGTGATCACTGTTTCTGTTCTATGGATATGATCAGTAAAAGGAATCTGACAAGACTAAAGTGGCTAGGCATATCAACAACATTTCAAAATCAACCACATGTATAAAACTGGAATAAAAAAAATGAAAACAAACAATTAAATAATAATAACAAAATACAAAATTAAACAACTTAAATTTTTTTTTTGTAAAATAAAAAAAACTTGTTTTTTATTTTATTGTCCTAAAAAAAAAAGTATCCTTGAAATTCCAGCCAGGCTCTTTGCAACCCAACACAAGTCATTTGTTTCTCCTTAAAAGTGTGCTTTTTGTTCCAATATCATGTTTTATTCTAAAATTTAACTTTAAGCTGGAATTGGAGTAAAGACTGAACCCATATTCAAAGACGATTAAACAATACTGGAGCCTATCATGGAAAACTGTGGGGGGGGAAAAATACACACATATACACAAAATGCGAGACAAACCTGTAAAATGATTAAGTGTTAATATTTCAATTATTTATTTGAATAATTTAAAATACTGTATATTTTAGGTAGGAGAATCCCTCTGTAAATGATGCTTCAAAATAAACAGACAAACATAAGAATGATGGAGTAAAAACACATTTACATATATAAAATGTTCAACAAGGTAAGCTGTTTATAAAACGAGTCCTTTCAGAGATCTGAATTTAAAAGAATTTTAAACTGCCATGTTGACAGGGTAAACTGGAGCTGGTTTCTTTCACAGACTGAGTAAGAACCGGTCACAATATTTCAGAACTAAACCACCATTCTCAGCAGAGTCTTTCTGTGACTCAGAGCAGCATGAATAATGTGATTGGTCAGTCAGGATTCTGTTGCTCCACCCACTGGCATCCTGATCAGCTCTTTTTCTGTTATTCAAAAAGATGTAACACAAGTCATTTCATCAGCCAGTTCCTCTTCCTCGTGGCTCCTGATGGGCTCCTCGTCACTGTATATGGGCCCCATGTCTGTGTGGTTCAGGAAGCCTTGACTCTCCCCTGAGCCCCCACGACTCAGGAGATCACTTGCAGCACTTTCCATCTCATCTATGGTCATGTGACAGGCATCTGCAATCTCACAATTTCATCAGCCAGTTCCTCTTCCTCGTGGCTCCTGATGGGCTCCTCGTCACTGTATATGGGCCCCATGTCTGTGTGGTTCAGGAAGCCTTGACTCTCCCCTGAGCCCGCACGACTCAGGAGATCACTTGCAGCACTTTCCATCTCATCTATGGTCATGTGACAGGCATCTGCAATCTCACGCTTGGCAAAGGCTACAAATTTTGGGTCCTTGGCATACAATCCCAAACCCTCAGAGATCAAGATCTGAGGAAGGCAAAAAGAGAAAGATCTGGAGTGACTAATGGCACTATACATGTCAAACTCAGATGACATACAGCATATATTACCATTCACTATTACCGTGATTTTTAAGATTTTTTTTTAAAAGGGGTCCTATTATGCTCTTTTACAAAGTATTGATTTTGTTTTGGGGGTGTGCTAGAACAGGCTCTCATACTAGGTTGTTCGAAAAACACATTATTTTTCACATATTTTACATGAATAGCTGGAATAGTTCCTTTATCAAATGAAGGCCCGCCTTCTGAAATACGAAATGTGCTGTGATTGGTTAGCTGGGCCAGTGTGTGTTGTGATTGGCAGCACTCGGCGCCTGGTCAGGAAATGTCATGCCCCTTACCATAGCCGCCTGCAAGCTTCAGTGTAAATATTGCGTCAATATCAAATCAATTTGAGCGTGATTTAAACCCGGATGATTGTAACCACTCTAAGTTCGTCTCCCTTGGGAAAGCTAGCGTGTCTCCGACATAGTGATAACACTCGTTGCCTTCTCTAGTGCAGCTCAACCAGGTCTCGTCCCATTCGTCGATATTTGTGATATCACAAATCCCGGAAAATATGCGTTGTAGTCCAAACGAGTC